GGAGGGAAACAGTAGGGGTCTCGCTGGCCGAGGTCGATCGTTCTCGGTATGCTACTCTACTGCGGGATCGTTTCGTGGGTGGTGTATCGCCGGTTGGTAAGTCAACTGGTATAATAGCTAGGTGTAAGGCTTCCTGCCGTGTTACGGGCTGGGTACGGGCACTCCGGCGCGTTCCTTCAGCGGAGGTAACGCTCTGCAGGCCATTCCTTCGTCCACGGCGACCCCTAGGCATCGGGGTCACTGGATCAGGCATTTCCGGCACACTCTGCTGACCGGCTTTCTCCCGGTCAGGCTGCGGAGGCGTACCTACTCCGTCCGCAGCAAAATCCATCCTATCTTCAGAGAGTTCACTAGCTGTAGGAATCATTTCCTGCGAGCCGGCGTGCGGCGGCGTGGATCCCGGTTAAAATCGGACTATTGAGCGGTTACGGACGCTTGCAGGTCTACTAACGGATCTTGTACGCCTCTCTGAAAGGCTTATGTGCGGCTGGCTGCGTCCCTCGCTGTTAGACGAGCTGGAGGCCTCCGTACCGCTACGTACGGAGAACTGAAAGTCCTGCAGATAGGGAGGGACCCGGTACCAGGCTTGCCGGTGCACTGCTGTAGCTTGAACCCGGTCCATCTCTGCTGCGTACCTCGAACACCCTTTGTGCCAGGCAGCGTGTGCTTCTCCACACCCTGCACAGCGGCGCTCCTGGCTGTTAGTAGACTTGTGGGAGCAGTTCCGGGTCTCGTGGCTGCCCCCACAGAGTCCGCAAGTTGTTTTATTCGAACAGACAATTCCTATGTGACTATATTGTTGGCAGTTAAAGTACCGTCGGATACGAGCAGTCCGATCATATAATACTGTCTTATGGATAACGCTATCCCAAATGGTGCCTCGTGCGATTGCCTCGTTGGCGTGACGGGGATCTAAGAATTCCACGATCAGGGCAGACGATTTCTGGTTCTTATGATTGGACGGGTGAGTGAGCCACGCGATACGCGTAATTCGGGGACTCTATTGAGCCTCCTTGCTTACCCAGCAGTCCCTGTTCTCCTCGAGTAACTCGTTAGCTACCCGTTGTTGTTCCTTATCGGTGGTGAGGTCTCCAATTGACTTAAATGCGATTCCATGTATAACGATACCCCAAGAGGGACGCCGTAACATGGCTCCCGCGCTCAGGTAGTTGACCCATTGATCGTGGGTCCTGGCAGCTTCGGCCTCAGCGGCGTAGCGGAGTGAGAGGCTCAGGTCGCCGGACCTAAGCTGTCTAGCAGCTACAAAACGCGTTTTGGCTAGGGAGAGAGCCCCTGTTTGGCCGCATGTTTTCTATTTTGCTGTTTCCGCTCTCTGCTTGATATCCGAGGCCGTAAGACGTCGGTAGGTGCGCACTGTACCAGCATCCCGTAGTTTAACGATGACCTCGCGGTCCTTGCTGAGCTCCGACGGGGTGGCCGGGGCGGTACTGAAGGAGCCGTGAGACGAGATCGTATGGGCCGGGGGAGGCGCGTTGCGGACCACAGAGGCCCAGGACTGGTTGTTCTGTTTCTGTACACTCGATTGAGTGTAGTAGGTCTGTTCCTGGACGTTCTGAAGGGTCTGCCGGATGTTGGCCAGCTCGGAGCCGATACGGCAGTTGGCAGTCAGAATATCCACAATTTGGTGTTGCAGGAAGTCGCAGGCGTCAGCTACCTGCTGTATGAAGCTGACTACCGGTTTAGGGAGCTGTTTCCCATTTGATTCGTTAAATGATAGGTATTGCTGCGCGTCTTTGTTGAGGTTCAAAACGCAGTGGAGAAAATTCTGATTGTGCGTGTTTACCGCCTCGGGAATCCCTGAAAGGGCCGGCCACGAGGGTTTCGCCCCAACCATATCGATATCCCCTATAAAGTTAGGCTCAATCGATAGCGGCTGGGGTTGATAGTAAACTGGCTGATTCTAGAGGCCGTAGCCTTCGTGGTGGTTGAATAATTTTTAAAAGTTTGGTTCGCGTCGAAGTTGTTGTTTTTTTTTTATTGAGCGCAGTTCATATACATGTTGATTCTTCCCTCCAGATTGAACCAGCTCCACCCGAACAAGGCATCTCCGGCGGGTGCGATTTCCGGGATCTGAAAGTCCCATTTCAACTTCAGTGGACAGCCACCCATATAGGACTGGATGACGCGGAAAGTTTCGCCGTTGTCGTAGCTGAGCGAGATCTGGCATGAGCCGTCGTTGTGGTTGATGCCGGGAGCGAGCTCCATGTAGTCCTTCTGGCCGGCGGTGTAGGTAGTCACAGTGCGCCAGGGGGCGTTCTTGTGGTGGCCTCTGCAGGGGAAGTTGCTTCCTGATTTGATGTTAGGTTAGTTTTGGGGTAGTAGGAGGGAAAAGGGCCTGGGTAACACACCATCTATCTTCAAGTGGTGGGTATTATTGATGTCAATGTTCGACACCTTGTTCTTGGGATCATACGGGCTCTTCAGGGGAAATGGATGAATCATTTCCATGTGTGCCATTGCAGTGCTGGCTGCAGTGAGAACAGCAAGGAAGAGTGTGGAAAGCTGCATATTGACGGGTAAGGAAATTCCTTCGGTCGTAGTGGATAGTCGAGTAGTCGGCTCTGGTGAAGATCGAACGATTTGAACATCAAGTATCAACGCAGGAAACGATGGGCACTCTATAATCATCCATTGTGGGATCGGTGGGTGAAAATTTTCATGTCGATGATGATGAATGAGCCTCTGGTGTCGTATGGATGACAAGTGATACAACCTCATTAAATTGCCCGCTATGGCATCACTATATCCCCACAATGCCAATATCAATACCTCAGGAAAGCTTATAATTAGGTAACACCAACCTCAAGCTCAAGTGTAACAATCATGGGTTTCAACACTCATCAGATAACCCAGCAGATCATATCATGGTGATGCTTCATTAAGTCGCATTCTGGCCAAAAGCAGATATCTAACCACCGCAGCTCATTTACTTTCCTGGGTTTGGTTCTGCGTGATTCTGGCTGTTTGAGAAACTAAAATAAATGTGACAGGCCGAAATTGTTGCAAAATATCCTTAGCAGATGAATCGGACTATAAAACAAGATTAAGGACATTTGGTTGCACTCGCATATACTAAGCTTGCCGAAGTTGCCAAGACGCCCTCCAATATAAGAACCGTCTTTAGGGGAATGTTCACGGACTCCTGCATTGAAGCTATGTATGTTTGGATAATAGAATCTTTGTCCAAGATCAGGCGCTACTGTGGAGAAATTTTGTCCAGCCAAGTGGTCCGGCACCAAGCGAAGATCGACAGGCCAAACTAGCGTCAAGACATTGGCCTGACGGGATCTTCTGCCGGTCATTTCACCAGTTTTCTCGAGAATTGGACAGCAGCACTCGACTTGATCAATCTGAATTAAAATCTATACTCCCCAAAGGCATCGATAATCCGATCGATTGCATCAAGTCGCCAGGTATCATTTTCCAGTCTAAGTCCTTCGGTGTCAAATACAACATTGACAGCAGAGTCACACCGGTAAGTGGGCCAGACGAAATCTGCCCTGCTATCTGTTTGGAGTTAAAATCCTGGTCTAAAGCTTTTCAAGTAGATGACCTACTTTGGTAGTAATTTGGTGATAGTGTATTCACAAAGTTCAGCCACATACGACTCATCAAAACGCTGGCTTCCCTGAATTTCTCCTCTAGCCCTTCATCCGTCGAAGCGAGTGGAGGGGTCTCGAAGCCAACACCAAGCATATTTTGAAAGGTAAAGGCAACGTCCTGGAAGTGACAAACGCCAAGGACTTCGGGCGATATACCGTTTGGAACAATATCAAAGCGATAGCTATAGAGAGGAGCGCCGTGATGGGCCCATATACGTGAACTATGTCGCCTGGGGGCGTTAAAGAGGTAGTCTGAAATGTATAAAGTACTTTGTCCGTATAGGGTCCCATATTTCGGCGAAGGTGTTATGAGGACGGTTGCCAAGTCATTTTGGACATCTTCCAGTGACATTTTCTCCAGATACTCACTAACAATGGCAGTTAAGGTGTCGTTTGAAAGATACTTTCCAGGCCCGAAGCCCGTTATTACATCCTTGAAGTCGTTAGGGGTGCTGATGGCGCCAAATGACCCAGAGGCAATATACCCCGTTCCTTCGTTTGTGTTTGTTCCGGTCAGCAACGGAACTTTCACAAACCGTCCTTCTTTAAGGCCTTGGGAGGAATATCCGGCAATTATGCCGCCGTCCATCACGGGAAAGAAGAACTGCTGCTGAAACGCGCTTTTCAACAGGCTTGCCGGGACGCGCCGCAGGCATCCGAGACTATCCTTGACCCCATCACAGCCAGTGGCGTTCAGAACAGTATTGTACATGGCGTCCTGTTCGTCTATCGGTGCCAACGCAGCCGAAATGAGAGGGGCACCACTCTGACCGATGGCCGCGCGAAACAGCCCGTCGTCGCGTCCACCATACGCAAGGAGGTGGTATCCCACCGAAAGCGCTCCAGATGATTCTCCTTGAATCGTCACTCGCGATGGATCACCACCAAACGCGCCAACATTCTCTTGGATCCAGTGGAGCGCGAGACGCTGGTCATAGAGCCCGAGATTTGCAAGGCCGGACTCGTTGATCACGCGACCAGATAGGAAACCCAAGCCAGACACGCGATAGTTGAAACTGACACCTATCGTGGGATGTCCCATCTTGACGGATTCCTGGACTATGAATGACATGTTATATCGTTGGTCGGCGCTGCCGCCTTCCTGAAGACCGCCCCCGTAGATGTATACCAAGACAGGAAGCTTTGCGGTGGAGTCTATACCTGACGGGCGGACAACGTTCAAAGTTAGACAGTCCTCGTTTTCCTCGTGTGGAAAGCCATCCTGTGTAAAACCCGGAAGAGAGAGGGGCGCCGAGTGACACCAGAAGCCATAGGAAGTGGCATGTTTTGGGGTATTCCAGGACGCGTTGATCGGCTTCGGGTGGTTGTACCTAAGATTCCCTACGGGCGGCTGGGCGTATGGGATCCCAAGGAAAAAGTCCTGATCGTAGGTTGGGTTCTGAGAGCCCACCAGCGTTCCGTTTGAGATTGTCACCATAGGCTCATTATTGTGTCGGGGCTGGGGCCAAGGAAGGGATACGCTTGACAGAAGAACGGACTGGAGGAACCGAGGAACTAGCACCATCTTCCGTGGGATTCAATCTTGTGAATGGGCGATGACTGCGATGAAAAGGGAGGAAGTGGCGGTGAAATTCGAAGGCGGAGGAAAGTTGAAAAGAAACGCGGGACGCGGGAAAGCCTCAGGCCACCATCGGCTCCTCCGTACAATCCTCGGGATGGTATGCTGGGTAAAACTGCTGTCCACGGTCTTTGAGCCAGACCTGCTTGTCCTCTGCCCATGTCGAAACAGTGCCAAAGAAGGCGGTTTTGACCTCCTCGGATATTTCGTAGGATTCCATAGTCATGACGTCCAAACCCGTCCATGCCTCGGCGGCGCCACAAGCATTGAGTCGGGCATAATCATAACCTAGGCACTGATGACCATATGGTTCGTCTCCGTCTCGAAGGCGTTCCTCGTCTGGCTTCGCTACCAGCATACCCAGGTCTTTCCTTCCCGCAATGATGATACAAGCAGCTTCCTCTTCATCTCCTCTAGCCGCCTCTAGCGAAAGACGGTCCACTGCGAAGAAGTATCGGGGAATTTCCTGGCCCGACTGAATGAATTCAGGCGACTCGAAAAAGGCCACCAAGCCTTCAATGTCAGGGGTTTTGATGACATGCGAAACGTCGACAAACCGTACGGTCTCCTCGATTTCCGAAAGGACTTCATCACACGTGGTCCTCACGTCTCTATCTCCCATCTTCTCCAGCACAAAGACCAAACAGGCATCGTTGGATACGACAATCTCATCCGGGTTGTTAATATTCTCAAACCCGTCGTCTAACTTGTGTGAGTAGAACAGACTAGGGTTGACCCTGAAGTCGTTGCACCTAACAACACCACCCCGTGAGTGGTTGAGCGACGGATTCCAGATCAAATGCCAGATTCCTACGGCGTCGCTGAGGTCTTTCACAGCAGACAATTGGACGGTGTTGTCTCCTCGCTCGCCTTCCTTTTGCCATTCTTTTGCGAAGATGATGCTATGTTCACGTTCCTCGGAGGTATCGATAAACATCGCAAAGGCTTGATCAATATTGGGAGAGCCGGGAGTCTTGACAGCTTGAAAGATGCGGTACATCTCAGCACGAGAGCACGGGCTTTGGTCATCCGGCCAGTTGAGTATCTCCACGTTCTCAATTTGCTCGTTCGTCCAGGGTTGGGACAGAATCGCGCTCGCTTCAGTTTCCGACAGATGAACCAGGGAAATCAAAGTCAATGTGGATCGCTTCGGCTCGAAGTCGGCCGGAAGGTGCGGAGGAAGGCGATATACCATCTCATACTGACCACCTAAATGGTCCTGGGACTTGCGCTCGGGGATAATCTTAACCTCGTCGAAATTTGGCATCACTGCCGCGAGCGACCGCTCCTGAGATGCAGCGAGAGCCAGATTGGCTCGGTCCATACGTACACGGGCAGCTTCAACGCGTTCCGGGCCGTAGTATCCGTTCAGTATAACTGCGGTGTCATCTTGCAAGGATTGCTCGTCGATGAAGACCAATCCGTCCGAGTAGCCTGTTTCTTCGAAAATTTGAAAAATGACCGATATCGGGGGTGAGAAGTCGCGAATCCATGGCATTGGCAACAGGCGTCTCATTTGACCAGGCGGAACATCGTCCCATGTTTTGTCCAGAGTGCAGAGCCGTTTTAATATTCTCTCATAATTTTCATCGTCCGTTTTACAAAGGAAAACAACGACCCACGATGGCGGTTCAGAGAACACAGAAAGGTCATAGGGCTGGGATAATTGCCAGTTGGGAAATTCGGAGGGCGATAACATTTTCATGACGCGCAGTAGGGGCTTATTGATTGTGGTAGATATTGGAATCAATCAATAAAACAGGGGGGCAGTCGGTTATTAGTATTACGGCCCCCGCCACAAGAAATTTTCCCGCTAGGCTGAAGACCTCTTAGGTACCGCTTATCAACCTACTGTCTGCCTATTTTGTTTCGCAATTGTACGTAGAATTAATGTATTATGTAGAGGATAATACGATGCAAGACGGATCAACAATCCATCCCTAGAAGCACTTAAATTCCGCCCCTGCGGCATAGCTATTCTGAATCCTTTTTCTGACCGCCCCGACTTCTATCCGATCAAAATGTCTTCAGGTCCGAAGTCGCCAATATTCGTTTACGCCGACTTTGATCTTCAAGCGTTATGCCGTCACGCAAGCACGCTACGACAGGGTATTCCATGTGCATGTAATCCAGACCAACGTCCTGCCTCCGGAAGTTTCAACTGGGCCATCTTTATTTTATTCGAAGACGGGATACGATGGGTCTGCAGATCTCCTCATCACAGAACCTTTATGCCAATAGAAATGGGCGTAAAGTTGCTGGCAAGTGAAGCTGCTGTGCTCCGATATCTCAGGATCCATAGCGATATTCCTGTTCCAGAAGCACACGATTATTGGTGATTGTCTCTTTCAGACCATGCTGGTCCAATTCTAACCTACTATAGTGCTTCGTCCGATAACGATATCAGAATACCGTTTATCCTCATGAATGAAGCGCCCGGCTGGCCACTTTCCAAAGCTTGGAAACTAGCTGGCTCCCCTCAACCTGGCCTAGACATGCGCAGCAAAGCCAAAGTACTCGCACAGTTAGGCGGTATTACCTGGAAGCTTTCACAACTACGGTTCGATAAAATCGGCTTGCTATTCGAAGAAAATGGCTTCTTTTTAATCAGGGAATGTCTCTCTCGTGGCCACGTGTTACATGAACGATATGCTTTAGAGGTCGCCCGTGGTCCTTTCACTTCAGAATTGGAATTTTACGATAGCCTGGTTTCAGCTTTCTCGGAGCACGCGGAAATTCTGCAGTTATCGCATCACTGCTTTGTGGCACCAGTCCCATCATTCGACGACTACCCATCCAGCACGCAATATAGAAGTGCTGTAGGTTTATGGAACGATTTCGTGACAATTGGACGCAAGATCGACACATCAGATAATAGACTGGACTATATAATTGTAGGCGACGCTCTCCGCGACATTGTACAAAAACTTCAGCTTGGAGCTGTCAATCCGGGCACTTTTCCGCTGAGCCATGCCGATTTGAGTGTTAACAATATCTATGTCGACGATGAGTATAACATCACCTGCATCATCGATTGGGCATTCACTTCGTCCGTTCCTGAATCTATGCTGTTAGCCACGCCAGGGTTGCCACATTACTACGAAGAAATCAGCTCCGAGCTACATACACCCTTCATAGATGGCTTTATTGATGCTATGCCCGGATTCATGGAAAGAAGGTCGATCCACAGGTACCGCGAATCGCTTGAACAAGGCCGAATTGCCTGGAGACTGAGTCGACTTCTTGGTATGGACTCTATTGGGGATTACGATCTTCTCGCCACAGTATGGCACTTCGCATATGACCCGGGAAAGGACATCGGACAGCACTTTTTACAACGCCAGTATTCGGCCCACTACCTTCGGCTCTACGAAGAAGTTCAAATGGGGGATCAGCCACTGTCGAAGATCAGAAAGGATGAAGAAGATTATTTTCGAAACAAAGAATTTAGGGAAACAATAGCTAGAAAGCTGACGCTCGTGTCCGAGCGGAAAACACAATATACCGTGAATGACTCCCGGAGACTTCGGAAAGACATGTTTGTCGCATCGTCTAAATTGTGGAAATGGATCCAACAATTCATGCAGGATTGGGCAGCCATGTCGTAGTCGGTCTTTCGGTCTTTGAATCTATACGAGTGTGCCGGACAAGGCACCCAAGTGGCTGCCTAGACACCTGAGGCCTGGCCTGTGTAGGGAAAAGTTGTTTGGCAACAGGTGGTTTCCCAGCAACTTTTTACCACAGATAAGATGTGCAATCACTGTGTTCTTGATTTTGAAGTTCTTCGGGTTGAAATATATAATTTATGGACAAGGTGCGAACAGCAACAAATGGCTTGAAAGTGTATGATGATGGAATAATATATTCAATCGTAGACAATAAACACAAACTTTGCTTACTGGTAAATGGCATACATCTCTTAATTAACACTATCAAAGACGCATGGATGACCGGTAACTACAAGCTTGTGTAGTGTTAGACTAGGTTAAAGGTAGCTTATATTTTAATTTAGAAAGACTAAATCTCATCAGCGAATCAGAATCCAATATGATCCGATCCACCCGCATCATTGGTCTAGTGGTAGAATTCGTCGTTGCCATCGACGAGGCCCGTGTTCGATTCACGGATGATGCATTCTTTTTGGTTTTTGTTATTTTTCACTTCCAATATTTCATGTCAACCACTCTCGACGTGTGAACTGCGGACTGTTCATACACCAGGATTTTCAAAATTTCTCCTTAATGACCATAACAGAGAGAGAATTACAATCTAGATAGATACTATGAAGTATAGAAGATCTTGAATCCCATCAACAATTAGCTACTGTATACTTTCCGAACAAACAAGAAGAATTCGACATTTTACAGTCTCCTCTGCCTTGCCAGATAGCTCGATCTATGTCTTTCATGAATAAACGGCAGGCCGTTGGGGACTGCTTATGTTCACCTTGCTAATCCAACAATTTTCCAACCCTTCATTCTAAGGGAAACAGCTCAACAATCCCCCTCGCAGCTTGCTCCAGTTCAGTCCTCGTGGCACAGGCCGCGTAGACAAAGCGATCCGGTCTCACAATCACATACCGCTTCGACTGAAACATCCGCCGCATCTGAGACGGATCGTAACCGCGCGGTGTGGGTCGTCCAGAGCATAGCTCAGACCGAGCAAATTCGTCCGCGGTGGCGGCTCGATAGACGGTGAAGTCTCCCGTAGTAATGCAAATAGACGAGTCGCTGGGGGGCTCCGGCACGAGCATTGTCGATTCTTTTGCCCCCAAATGACCACTGATTTGGTCAATTCCGTCGAGTTCTGCCATGGCTGACGGAAGTTCTGCCGACGAACCTAGCAAGACCACGACCTGGAATAGGTTTGCTTTCCCTTTGGAAAAAATGACATCATCTGTAAAAAGCACGTCCGGTTCGTGAGCCCCAAGCTTCACGCAGTAGATCTGCGGAAAATACACTCCACCATTGAAGCCAGGCAGAAATGGCATCCCAGCCTCGTGAGAATATTGCACAGGACCCTCGAGCTTCGGACCAAGCTGCAACCGATGCTCGAGGCTCGGAATAAACCGCATTACCCAGAGAGCCCAATCGCGGATAAAGTTCTGCACCGGGTTCTTGCTGCTGACGAGCTGGCCGTTTCGTAGGGTGTTGTTTAGCGATGTTTGGAATTGCTGTTGACGCTCGGTGTACCATGCTGTCAGGTGTTTTTCAACAGCGACCTGACTTGATTTAGACCGCATTATTATGGCAAGACGCCAGGCGAGGCCAATGGCATCGCGGAATCCAGATGCGATCCCTTGACCGGCGACTGGTGAAGAATGTGTCAGTCAAATATAAAACACGCCGACGCCGGATAGCTCGAGGGGTATTGCTAGGTTAGAGGGTAGACCCACATGGAGGGAAGACATGCGCAGCATCGCCGCATAGTATTACTCGCCCGAGAGCCCATTTGTTGCATTTACGGGCAGCGAACCGGAATGGTCTCGAGCGAAGGACACGAATGCAGTCCTCCGGGAACTCGACGTCCTTGGTCAACCTGGGAAACGGCTCGCTGTTAGCAAATTCAGATAGCTAACAGTGATTTACGAAAAATAGACTGCAGACTTACCCATATCGTCTACCATGATGTCGTAGATAGGGGAGAACCACTTCTTTTACCCTATGTTCCTGCGCCATCTCTTCTGGATCCTCTCCGGGTTGAACGACAAATTCAAATCGCCATAGCCTGTCCTTGTGCTGTCCGAAGCGCGTGCACACGGCAGCCCGAGATGGGTTACAAAGGAACCGAAACTCCCGGGGAAAGAAAAGATTGTAGACCTCCTCTGGGGTGTAGTCATGTTCCCATAGTGCGAAGTCGGGATGCGTTTCTCTCGTGGGTAGACGGATTTCCCAATTCAGCGCAACCCAGGTCTCTTCATAGTGGCTTCTGTATTGAAAGTCAACTGATTCCCGTACGTGCAGGTTCTAGAGCAAAGTGTAATCGTCTTAACTTACTGCTCAGCCCACTCCATCTTAACACCCCGAGGCTCCAAGTAATGCTTTCGGACAAAGCCCGTCTTACCGTCGGCTCCGACAAGGAAACGCGCCCGTACATATTTTTCGCTTCCATTCGAATTAACATAGGAGGCATATACCCACTCCTCATCTTCTCGGATGGAGCTTAACGTGCAATCGGTCCTCAATGTGGAAAACCGGGACCCTTGAATGACGGATCGTAGATGCTTTTCAAGGATAGGCTGCTTGTGGGTAATCATCCAAGCATGTCCGGTATACCCCTTCGTCTGCAAGACTACAGGTTAGAATAAGAAAGAGATCCTAGGTGAAGATGAAAATGTAGCCATTCACCGACGCAGTATCAAGATAGAAGAGTGGTTTCGAGCTTAAATCATTGTGGTCTCCTCCAATGAAGTTAACTTTTTCCATGCCTAAAATTGGAAGATAGATAAATATTAGTCCTGCGGTCGGGAGCATGAACAGAGCCACGCACAAGAGCCTATATCGCCGAACACATGTTGGTAAAGACCTAAACCCTGCAGGTATCTTATCCCGTCATCGTCAAGAGCGATTCCCCTCGGATCAGTAGTGATCTGGGCTTCCTTCTCCAAGACGATATTGCGGACGTCCATTATATTCAAGTAGCCCGAGAGCATTGCTCCTGTTGGGCCGCAGCCGCAGATGAGAATATCCGTGGTCTCCCATGGCTTGTCGGTCGACATCTTGGCTGATTTGCTGCTGGGAATATGTGGGTGCGAATAAAGAGACACGGCGAGGGTCTCCAGGATCTCTTATTTATTTATCACCATTGCTTACGCTTCCCTTTCAAATTGTCCCACATTTAATCCCCAAAGGATGGGATGTGGTAACAATCTAATGTTCCCCACTGTCAGCAAGCGGCAACTATCGTACGATGGGTCCGTCCTAGTACGAGGAAATCCCGCACGCTGGAAGGAAGAGACCCTTGTAAGTAACGCTTGCTTTCTCTTTAATGGTAGGTAGGTGGCGGAGGTTTTACTCTATTCTAAATTCGATTTAGAGAAAACAGGGAAGTATTCCAGACCCTCACCTTGTAAGCATGTTACAAGCCATTTCGCCCAAAAGGAATTGGCATTCGCATTTTGGATTTAACTGTATCGAGTTTCTGAGTTAGTTCAGAAGAAAGAATGTAATGGCTGTATTCTTGCTTTCTAGTTCTCATTTTCACTTTCAGTGAGCTAATTGCTTGATTAATGGTGCATCAAAATATGTCCTGCTCCTCAATAAGTGCCAGCAATGTCGATGCAAGATTCTGAGGCAATTTCCAATGAGGAATACGTCGTAGCATATCAACACACCCGAATACTTGATCTAAAGTATCCCACTTATTTTGCCATTTGCTTGAATCTCTGTTCAAAGCCCGACTCTCATCATTCCTAAGCAAGTGGAACTCAGAATACTTGAACTGACTTTCCGCATCTCTTGCGGAAAACACAGCATTCTTGCAGAATTTTCCAAAGCAGTACCAGACAATCCCACACTGATAGAGACACAGGGGTAGGTGAATAGAAGATGCTCTTCCGATAGCTATCGACTCAAATTGTCTTAGGATATAGATTGCATGTAGGAGACACCGCTTGGCCTCGTTGGACGTGGCCCATTGTTCAGCGTATCGAAGGGCATCGGGATCTATTTCATCCCCATCTCGACCACAAGCCCGCTCTAGAACATCCAGGTTTGCGTATAACATGATAAAATTAGAGTGCCAAAGAATCATCAATGGAGAAGTCCAGATCATGGTCGAAGTCTTGGCTGATTCCCAAGACTGATACCACTTAATCAGTAATTCCTCGCATTTCTCTGCCATATTTGAGACGAAAACTGTAGGCTGGTGAGATTCACATGCCAGGACGCTGAGTGACTCTAGCATAGCACACTGTTCGAAGCTATTGACCCCCTTAGGAATCTGTGTTGTGCCGGAAGGTTCTGGTATGTCGCTGTGGTAGCTCTCTTGAGTCATTACAAGTTTCCAAGCATTTGCGTTCGGCGCATCGAACAGGTGGTCTGAAGCTGTACTTGATAAACGTTGGCAGCCATGTCGTAAAACAGATTCATGATGATGTAGTTTCGCCAACTCGGCGTCCTGGATCGCGATTGCTAGTCCGATACTATCGAGGCTCAATAGATGGTACATGCGGCAATGTTTTCGTGGTTATCTCACCGTTTCTTTGTCTCGATAATTGCCCATTCCTTCCATGCGGCTTCCAAAGCATTGCCGACTAGGTTGGTAGGATCGCATGAAGATTGGTAAATGCCATGCACAATTCCTCTGCGATCCCACTGAGCAAGATTCAGCAATGATTGTGCGCTAGTATTTGATATGCAAAGGAAGGGCTCACCGCAGCTATACCTCCATGAAAAAAGTCGACACCTGCCAGATCTTTAGGTCTCTGGGAAGAAGTCAAACAAAAGTTCGATTGATTTATTTCAGGAAAATGACATACTCCAACAAGAAAGCCAAATGCTTGACCAATAAGTGCCGATTGTATAGCTGCTATACGTGCCTCTGGAGGACTGGCAATATGCACCTCCCACTGAGCTCCAGAGTTAACACCTTGAGGGACTCTTGATTTTGAGCGGGGCTAACTATACCGAGGAAACGTTCGCTTTTTGCAGTCTTTCAAACATACTTATGCCATGTTCTGTCGCTGTGGATGAACCAAGAAACAAACTTCCGACCGAGCAGATAGACAAAAGAAGAACGGCATTGCGCTTGCTGGGGTGGAATCTTGGCTCGTGAACAATGGGAAAGACAGGTTGAAAATGCCTAAAATAGGCGCGCAGACAGAGATCCTATGCGAAAAGAAGCAAGTATTAACGAGTTTCTTTCCCCATGCCAAAAAGGTAGATCAGGGCACGGCGTACTATGAAGTTGGTTGAAGGAAGAATTCCTGTCTGGACTCTCGGCTTAAGTCGTTCAACGAGCTCTTCACGATAACATTCGTCAATTTGACCAGTTTCCAGAGTGGGATCAGGGCTGACTCTGGCAGGATTTGGCTCACAATATGTGTGCCACTTCCTCCTGACAGAGTCGCCACTAGGCGTAGAACTCCGTTCTATAGGTTGAGTGACCATTTTTGAACAGCCACTATCCAACCGCTGTGTACCTTCTGCGGTGACTTGAAGTAAAGACGAGTTGACGGCATCTAGATTGAAGTCGTCGCATAAGAGCCAAGAATCCCATCCTGTTTCGAGCTCGACGTCTGGTAAGGAAGGAGCTTGGATGTCTAGCTGATCCTGCACATTGCCACTGTAATCTTCTGGTAGTGGAGAGGCGGTGCTGATGGTCTTGAGACGGTTGCCACTATCGGTGTTTACGACAGGAGCAAATGCCGCTTGAATCACCGACTCAAAAACATCGGACGAGTCTACTGCCTCTGCATTGTGGTTTGTGGTCCCAGGCGACCGTGGCATACTACGGCCCAGGGAAGCATTCTGGTCCTTGTTTGTGCAGCCGGATAATCTATCATCGCTCGTTTTCTTTCGAGAACAATTAGTTCTAACGTGTCGTAACAATGTATCTCTATGAAATTAGCATAAATTATACTTTGTCTCACAGCAGAACGTGTATTAAGCTTTATTTAAGCACCAATCGCTACTCACTGCCTGGTATAAACTCGTCCACAGTCTGAGCACTGGAATGGCCTCTCCTTGGTGTGGGACCTATAATGCCGCGACAGATGTTCGGCTTTGTTGAACGCTTTGGAGCATATTGGACAGACCCTGTCTTCCTTCGATGTCTTGGGCCGCCGACTACTTCTTGTGCGAAGGTTCGGAGCAATCGTCATTCTAACATTGAATGCTGGACAAGAGATCCGGGGACTTCGAGGTAGGAGAAATAGGGAACAAGCGGGAAGACCTCCCGCTTAACACCTGGGGGAACCACACTATACGTTATTCGGACTAGGAAAGGTCCCACATTCCCACTTGGCAGCTACGCGTTCAGAGATGTTTTTGAAATCCCTTTTTTTTTTTTTTTTTTTTTTTTTTTCATATAAAGTGTCACCTAAGTAGTTCTTTCTGCGATGAGGCCTCGATTTAAGACATATGGTATAGTTGATAACTACAGTCAACCCTTTTATTCGGTAAAAATCGATGGACATAGAATGAGCATAGAAAAACTGTGGGTATCCTAATAAGGTCTGCAAATATAGGAAGCTGTGGTTCAGAAAGCAAGTACAATTTATTTCCCACCGTAATTCGTTACCTGTTCAAGTCCCGTACGAAGAGTCAAGGCAAGGTCCTAAAGATATCGTCAGCACTGTCAAATTCGTCGAGCTGAGGGATATGGAAAATCCACTTACCATAAACCACATAGGTGCCAACTTCGATAGAAAACAAATCATCGACGCCATCTTCCCGCGCCAAACCAGTCCGGTAGTACCGCCCAGGACATCACTAGCAAGTTTACTTGCAAACTCAGCGGGTGAATCCTTCGACTGCACGTCCTGCCCCATTCCACGAGCTTGGATCTGCTGGGTCGCTTTAACATAGAGTGAGTTCTCAGGTAGGCGGATATTAGCGTGGGTCAGAAGGTTTGTGGCGACGGAGCCGGTCACCAGTGAAATAACTTTCACGTCGAATGGGTTGAGCTCTAGCCGGAGTGTCTCGCTCCATGACTGTAGACCGGCTTTGGAGGCGTTGTACACACCTGATGTCAATGTTAGCTACTTGATGAAACGAGAACAGTTGTCCAAAAAAAAAAAAAAGAAAATCGAAGGTAAGAGGGACTAACTCAGCCACGGCGCATTCGCAACACCCGACATCGAACAAACATTAACTATAGTGCCCCTGGCAGCAATGACCAACGGAGCAAAGGCTTGAGCCACGGCCATCGGCCCAAAAAGATTGACATCGAAAAGCTTTTTCGAGTTCTCAATGCTACTGTCTAGTGCTGGAAAGACCATAGATTGACCAGCATTGTTGATTAGAATATCGAGCTTTCCGGCATCATCTCGGACGAACTCCGCTGCCGCTTCAATATCCCACGCAGAAGTCACGTCCAACTTGAGAATTGTGACATTTGCGAGGTGCTTGAGATGTGCCAACTTAGACTTAGATCGCGCGGTCGCATAGACGTGTAGCCCTTTCGTGTGGAATTCTTCCACTAAAGCGGACCCGATCCCGCCGGCGCTGCAGCCGGTGATGAGGACAGACTGAGTCATTATCGATTACAAACGGTAATAAGTATGAATGAAGGGTGAGGTATGCGCGAAATTAGATTGGTAAGAATGAGATTCAATTATGCAGGAAGCATTCAGATCGTGGAGGCGATGATGGGGTATTATATAGAAATAGTCATGTGATGTAATTGAAGAACTCCATGCGAGTAACCGGACGCCTCCGGTAGAATCGGTGGAGAAAATCTAGATGTGAAAATCTAAGTTGTTGGTGAGGTGCATAATGTGGCCACTGAGCGAGGGGTGGAAATCGGGAAGTGTGGTTTACTTCTATCTAATTGCACTTTGCAGAATCTCGTTTTAGTCCGAAAGAGGCAATTTTTGCAGGGTTCTAAGCCAGTAGCGAAAAATTACGCTGTTGTTCTGCATGACTAGTGTCATCTTCAATCCACCGCACCGGCACAGAAAACGGAGATGATGACAATAAGCTAGCATGAATGCTTGCTTGGCTTGTTCTGCAGGTAAGAGTCGGCTGATCGTGTTGGATCCTCCCACGCAATGGCCCTTTTGGCGGATAAAAATAAGATTGAAGAGTCAGCCAAAAAACCAACCACTATTAATCAGGGGCAGTTTTGTTCGTGTGGCTTGAAATTTCATGGACACAACCGTTTAAAACATTTGGCCTACCAAGCCTGGGTTAGTTTCCACGCTTACAGGGATCATGAATTCATGATCCTTCGCCATCTTCTGTGTTAGATCTCCGGCAGCTGCTTCCGCCACATACTCAAAATAATAAAACTAACTGGGTTAAAGCTCCAGGGTGGCCTATCGATTGATGCGGCACAAGCCGATAGGACCCCGGCATATCCAAGAGTTGATCCCAGGGTGAGATCACAGTTCAGAGGCTGTTCAGCGCACAGACCCGAGCGCAGATTGAAGGATGCCAGGAGTTTGATTAGCTTGTCTTGGCGTAGGCTGCTAGCCTCGGTATCGTCGACAAAGTGCAAGGCTGCCGTGGATTTGTTGGATACAAGTTCGCCTTCCTTGCCTCTTTGGGGCTAGCTGGCCCAATGACCCGCTGATGTTGTGGCGGGCTTTTTCGTTGCCATGGCCAAATATGAGGACCATTCAGCAATAACCTTTCTCAAACATTTGAGCCCTAATTTATCGCAGAGCCCAAAAGAAAAGCCGGGGTATCACTAGGTCGTATAGACATGGACTCGGCTGGTGCCTGCTGACTGTGTTGCCTAGTATGCCCGCCGTACCATAGGAGGGCTAACTCTCTTATATTTGATGTCCTCGAAATTATTTCAACGCAAAGGACACATTTTCCAATTCTTACATGTTCATCTCTCTCAAGTACCTTCAGTTAAATTATCTGCAATGGCACAAACTCGGGCTTCTATAGCCCGTCTACCCTATGAGATCGTGTTTATGATAGCAGAACTCCTGGCTCTTAACGATGTAAGCGCCTGGCTACAAACATCGTCCTGTTTCTCCCAAGTGTTAGAGTCTTTCCTCTATTCTCGAATAGCCACCCACATCCTTACTTCCAAGAAGTCAGTGCTGGCATGGGCTGCCGAGGAGGGACGGATATCAGTGATAGAGAAAATCTACGCCAACACAAACGCTTCAAAGATACCGACAGAAACAAGCACTCAGGCATTATGTTACGCGGCAAAACATAATCACCTGGAAGCTGCTAGACTCCTATTAAAAATGGGAGGGAGTGTGAACGATAGAGCCTGCATCAAGTTTGCCTGGGAATACACAGCACTCCATGAAGCAGCAGCGGCGAGCCATATCGAGATGGCTCAATTGCTTATGGTGAATGGCGCAAGCATACACGCAACTGGCTCCGCATGCGCTATGTTTTCCGACGACACCGTCCTAGAATTGGCAGCACTGCACGCAAATCTCGAGACAATCCAGTTTCTCCTTGACGCAGGAGCCGATATCAAAACGGGGGGCGTCATCAAACGCGCCGTTCAGTCTCAAAGGGTTGATATTGTTAGATTCCTACTCGACCAAGGCGCCAGACATCATGGACCTTACGAGAATTCGACGCCACACTTAGTCCAAACCATTGGCGCGAGCAACATACCCCTGTTGAGACTTTTTCTTGAACGGGGTGCCGATCCGAATGAACAGTGCGGCAGGGCTCTGCAGGACGCGGCGGAGTTCGGGGATGTGGAGATCGTCAAAATACTTCTGGAACACGGTGTTGATATCAATGCCGTAAATGATCATGAGGGTAACTCAGCCTTACATATAGCATCTCGGGTGCCTGAGATTGATCTGGAGGAGCCTTTTTCGCGAGAAAGGGTTGTCGCGCTGCTTTTGGATCGCGGTGCTGACCCATATCTGTTGAATTGGCATGACGAGCCACCGCTTGAGGAAGCCCGAGCCTGGGGGAATCAAGAGATCATTAAATTACTCAAGGAGGCAATGAGAAAACTTCGCCCACATGAGATAAGATGGGTAGAGAGTGAGAATGAAGACGACGAAGAAAAAGAGGATGATGACGATGAAGCTAATGATGAAAGACATAAGAGCCCTGTCGTTCTTGAAAGGCAGGAACAATAGACTACAGACAGATTTGACAGCCTATACAAATGACTCGAGTCACTTAATCTGTGTACTGATGTTGAACAGCGTTCAAGCAAAACCTACTGTTATCTACAGAATGCCATGCATATATAAAACTAAACCTGAAACCTTCATTGCTTGACGCTTCATAGCATCTCCCGATTCACAATTGAATCACAATCCTAGACCCCTACAAACAACCTCGTTGCATTGAGTCAAGAAATCCACAGCCTCTTCTTTATTATGCCACGCATCATTGTATGCCGCACTCAACGCCAATCGGCCTCTAAAAGTGCCCAAAAAAACGCCAAGTCCAGTTCCTAGCTCTTCTCCCGTGACCCACGGATCGCTTAGCTGAAACACACCCCGAGTTAGAGCAATGATATTATCAATGACTCCCATGCTTGAGATTGACACTGAAGGTGATTCATTTGGCCCAGGGACTGGAGGTACTGGATATTCATCCGGCTCCGGATATGGCGGAGTGCCCTTTGCCCAGTAATGAGGAACTTTCGGGATATGACCAGTGTCGTCGCAGATTTCCAGATAGTGCTGTTTGATTTCAGATGCCACACGCTTGAACTCAGATGTCTCTGCAGATTCTGAAGCGGCCTCAGTTTTATCGCCAATCGCGGGAACTGTCATGTCCACAATCAAGCTGCGACCGGAGACGGAGTGATAGACCGACGCCGCGTGACTTGGCGTGTTGTATGGCGGGTTGCAATGGCTGCGCTCGTTGATAAGACAGTAATTGAAATACCGCACGGTTCTTTCTTCTGCGGATCGCGCTTGCAAATCGCGAACAATTATCGCAATCCCCGCATGGTATGCATGAGTAACGCTAGACCCCATCTTCTTACACGCGGTCAGAATCTTCTGCGTGTGGTCCCTTGATAGCGTCAAAGCCACACGCTGATGCTTTCCAGGTGTTTGTGCGCCGCGTGTAAATGGCAATGCAGCTATCTCGACACCGGACCGAAGCGAGGCATTATACGCCGCAAGTTTGTCGAATTGCGCCTGCTGTTCGGATGACAGAGTTGTTGGAATAGAAGCAGCCACACGCAGTGGGGGACTCAAGTTCTTCGACTCATTGCCAAATGCCAGGTTACTGGGCGTCGAAAGCCGGTCATATGCGCCCGACGCATTCTTGATCAGATTATCCAGCAAGTGAAGCGTTCCAATCCCATCGATAACGTCATGATGACATCGGAGAACCAGATCGCAATGGAAGAAACCGTTCTCTTGGCTTGGCTTGACAGATGGAATGACCATAATGATAGTAGGCAATTTCGGAACTGGAGGGTCTTGATTACACCACTCCTGCCCCGTCACTCCAGTTGAGACTACCTGCACCGTGTGATCCAGCCAGACATCTTTCGTGAGATCTGAGCCGAATTCCTGATAGACTTTCTTGCATTTCTGACTGACAGAGTTGAATTCGGTCCAGGACGCGATGGTCGGATGATCATATCGCAGTTGCAGCCATGCTCGTCGAAGTGCACCGTAGACCCGGTCTAGAGTTTCGCGATGAGATGAATCTTTCTGGACGGGGACAGACAGTGAAATGTGGCCTGTCATGGCGAAAAATACGCGACCGCTTCCTTCGTAGACTCTGGCCATGGTAGTATAGAACTGTTCGGCCTCGTCTATGTCGCGCTCCCATCGACCGGGGCTGGTCTCACGCCAGTGGAGGTTTTCATAGTTTGGAATTGTCATGGTGCTTGGTGGTACGGAAATCGAAGTTGGGTTTGGATTATCGGGGTATGTCTTCCCCAAAAATCTGGCGCTGGATGAGTATAAATATGATGAATTTGGGGAATGAATGGCGGCCGAATCTGCTGAAAACGGCAAAACGGCCAACCCGTGGAGACTCCTCAGGCATCGATTTCAGGTGTCCATGCGGCAGGCTAAACTTCGGTTTGCGCCATGTAAAAAAAAATTAACATTTATAACTAGTTAGTTATTTAGTTAGTTAGTTACGTTGTACAATGTTTGTCATCGCAGTCGCCCAACACTAACGAACCGTGATGCCTGATTGGCGACTGTTGGCGCAAGGATCAATCGCCCAACGCCTGCTCAGTCTTCCTTCAGACGACGAACTCTCTCGCTTCCACCTCACGTCCCAACGATGGAACCCGCGAACTCACTAGTTGACATCGGATCCCACAGTCTTTTTCTTTCCCTCCGTGGGATCTCCCGGGCCCCCGGCAGCCCGTTGGTTGTCTTTATAGTCGGCGCCGGGGACGTGTGTGCCTCGTTCGTGGCCGTGGCGCGACTTGTAGGCGGGTTTGCGCCCATGATGTTGTATGACCGCTCAGGGCTGGGTCGCAGCCAGGACGGCCCTGATCCACCACGCGCGACAACCGCAGCCCAGGAACTGCGCCTGCTGCAAATCCAGGCCGGGCTCGAGCCCCCGTTTCTCCTAGTCGCCCACTCGTACGGCGGTATCGTCGCACGCGAGTACCTGGAGCGATACCCCGGCTTAGTAGCTGGCATGGTACTGGCGGACGCGGCGACAGAGGAACAGATCGAGCTGATCGGCGACGAGCATCGTCGGGCCATCGACGCCGTCCTGGGGGACCTGAGCTTTGCCCGGGTCACTGGCTTGCGCGACCGGGCCCGTCTATCGCGCGACGAATGGCGTACACGAGCGATTGACATCGCACGCGGTCGATCAACGTCCGAGGCAGAGGCCGGTTCTGCACACGAGATATGCCAGACCCTGGGACGCAAAGACCAATATCGCCGGCAAGTCTTGGGAGCGAAGCCATTGGTCGTTCTCCGAGCCCGAAGCTCGCACGACTACGAACGCATCTACGCAGCCGGGGTGGCGGCCGGCCACGGCACAGAAGCCCAGCGAAGCTCATTTCGCCAACTGCTGAATCGCTGGGACTCGGTGGATCGCAGAATGCAAATGGCACAATTGCAGCTGTCTTCGACTCATCGTTTCGTGGACCTGCCGGACTGTGGCCATCACATTCATTTAATCCGTCCCGACTTGCTGGCGGCGCAAGTGCAGTGGGTGAGGGACGCCGTCCTGTCATCGAACGAGCCATTGGAAAACCTTTAAGTGGAATCCCCTTGTCTGCTGTGAGGCTTTTCCACCGTAGGTAAAGGGATCGGACAAGTTACCCAGATGCAGGGTCCGAGGATCCCCGCGGCAGGTGACACCGGGTAAATAAATAAATGGTTGTATGATTCTCAGAATTCGTTTGCTCCAATACACAACACAACGAATGAGTCGTGGCCCGTAAGAAAACAAAAACAAAAACAAAAACAAAAAAAAGACAAAAAAAGAAATGCTCACACTCGGATTCGAACCGAGGATCTCATGATTACTAGTCATGCGCTTTACCAACTAAGCCATGCGAGCTATTGACGGAAGACGGCTTATATCTTGGTTATAGAACACAAAAGAAAACCTGACTACATCCACCCACGGACTGGCGTGTTCACATAGTATGAAAGGTGAAGTATGAACATGAAGAATGAACGACATCCGTAACCATCCCACAAGATCCCCCCGTTACTTCAGGGGCTCCACATCCCCCATCGCCTTTCTCACCGCTGGACGGGCCGAAATGCGGGCCAGCCAGTCCTTGACGTGCGGATAGTCCTCCACCGTATAGCCGTCTTCGGGTTGGATGACATAGGTCACGAGAGTCTGCCAGGAGAGGAAGGACAGATCAGCATAGGAGTACCGCCCGCCTACCAGCCAGGGCCCGTCTCCCCCTTGGCCCACCTGTCGTGCCAAATGGCCTTCCAGGACACCCGTCACTCGATTGATCTCGCCGACATACCGCGACACCGCGCTGGGGACGGGGTCCGGATGGTACTTCTTGAACCAGACCGCTTGGCCAAAATACGGCCCTTGGCCCGTGGTCTGGAAGAAGAGCCACTGCTTGGCCTGCGCGGCCTCGTTGGAGCCCCGAGGAAAACCCAATCGATGCTCGGCGTCGTACCGCTCCACCAGGTATTCGACGATGGCCCCGGATTCCCATAGCGTCAGGTCTGTGTTCGGGTCGTGGATAGCGGGCAGACGACCGTTGGGATTGATGGCCAGGTAGGCAGGTTTCTTGACGTCCGGCAGCCGAAGGGTGATCACTCTGTAGGGGAGACCCAGTTCTTCAAGCACAGCGGCTACTTTGGGCGGGTTCGCGCCTCCTTTGCCCCAGACCTGAATGGGTTTGATTTCGGACATGATCGGCGGGTGAATAAGTATAGTTGAATAATGAGAAAATCGCCGGGTTGCCGGTTCACTTTAGACGTTCATTCTCATATATAGTTCTGCGTAGCGCTACGGACCTCGTATGTACTGTCGTAGCCGTTCTCCCTTGACACACAGGAAAGATCTTGGTGATGAATCAGCGTGAATAAGCATTGACGCGATTTATAATAATCATTTATAGATCGGACTCTCGGCCTTGCAACGACCCGAGGGCCGTAGAGGGCCTTCGCCACGACACCCCCCTTTTACTTGGCAGTCTCACGGCAAATGGGTATTAGTAATCGTCCTCCTGTCGTTTGATGGGATTCCTAAGAATTGTAAATAGTTACTAGGAATTCCTCTAGTGGAAGATGTTGGAGCCTGCTGGTATGGCTTGCGGCGCTAGCCTGCACGTAGTTAGGTAGTCAGTCAGCTGACCCACACTGGACCGCTGCATTTCTAGAACCTCTGCAGTGGTAGTATTAGAGATAATCAAGCGTTTCCATCCGATTCCCTAGCACTTTCAGAGCCGACGCTCATCAGAAGATTATCAATCCGTTCACACCTCGTCCGGGCAGGATCCACCCCGGGAGATGGTGACACTCGAGAGGCAAGCAAACCGTATTGCCTGTTTTTATATACTATATAGCTTCGGTCTCGCCCGAGGGCTAGAACTGACCGAGCACAAACACGAACTCTATCGCTGTCAGCGAGCCTCGAAGGGCTAATTCACAATCGGGACGCGTCAGAAGACCTTACCGATGGCCGAGGATCGGATCTCAGGCGCGAAGATCCGGGATCCCACGTTGATGCCCTGATGATTACAGGGTCAATTGCAACGAATAGAGATGTCAGGGGGTGGGGAGAGCGCGTCACCCTACTGTGGCGAAGAAGGGACCCGAGAAGAAGCCTAGAAAGCTGACAGCCACGGCGGAAGTTTACGATCTCAGGGACTCTGGCACACGTCAGTGCTTGCCGGGGGCGATTCAACATGGGGACGGTTAGGCGGGATCATACAGCTAAAACACGAGTTGCAAGCCCACACACAGCACCGCATAGACGAACACCATTCGACGCTCGCCGAATCGACACGTGGGCTCGGCCAGTGCTAGTCGTCCAAGAAAGGACCCCCTATAGAATCCGGTCAGGACGTACCCGATGTTCTTCATGTCCCCCTCCCGCACAATCACCAGATACTCCACCATCCACCCTGAGCCTCGTTAGCGTGAATAATGACAGGATGGCCCCGGTCGCTGTACCGCTAGCCGTGATAGTTGCTCCTAGAAAGAAGAAGGAAAATAGACCGAGCAGCCAGACCCCCCGAGTGGACAGCGTCGCCCGAATTTCTGCCCAGGCTGCCTTGCCGCGTCCCTCGTGGGTCGAGGGGCCGGCTGGACGGACCTGCGCCATCCACTCGAAGCGATCTCGGAACGCGATGGCGACGAGAGCCAGGTTGGCCACTCCGATGCCCAGGGGAAAAGCATAGAAGAGGTTCCACTGGGAGTGGGTGTTGGCCGATGCGACCGCGGTCGCAATCAACGGTCCCACGAGACACCCCGCCATGTACATGGCATGGATGAACCCGAGAGATCGGTGGGCGGCGGGGAGCGTGGACACGAAGTTGTTGGCGTGCGTGTCGTTGTACGCCTGGCCTAGACTGATGAGAAAGAAGGTGACGGCGTAGAGCGGCAGCGGCGGCAGCCAAAACCGCAGGACATGCGCCAGGATCTGGCGAGCGGCGCCGACGATGAGAAGGGTACCCAAGTCCAGATATTGCGTCAGGGAGCTATTGGAAAAGGCGGCCACGAACCAACCGAAGAAAGTGCAGGCGTAACCGGCCCGTCCGTCAGTAGCAGGTCGGACATCATCGGGGCGGACTCACAGGATCTCTACCATGTTCGTGTCGATCTCGTACGTGCGGATTAGATAGGGGATGACCGGTCCCAGACTACCGTCATTGTCCCGACGACGAAGAATGAGAAGCTGGCACTGAACACCTTGAGATACGGCGACGGTGGGCGGTTTGACCCGTGCCATTCGGCGGGCTCGTCAAGCTTGTCAGGCGCGACCTGGGGAGAGCCTCGAGTTTGCAAGACCAAGCCAGAGAGAGACCTGGGATTGTGTCTCGGTAGCCATCTTTGTAGAACAGTTGCCGACAAATCGGTGGATGGGACTCGTCCTTCCTGCACTAGGGATGTTGACCTTATATGAACTGTGGAGGCACCCTAGCGAGACTTTGAATTGGCATCTAAGAGAAAGCTGATACTCCAGTGAGTCTTGGCTTCGTTTCCGCAGGAGCTCTTATGAAGGATTCAGTCGCGCGGAGTTGAGGCCCGGCTGCCCGAAATGCCTCATCGGGTAACCCGAGGCGCCGGGTCTTGGTGGGTCAATTAACTCCATTTGTGATGGGTTGATCTGATTACAGTGGAAGGGATAGCTACTGATGAACTTAATTGAGTGGAATCGTACACGATATACACATTGCTGCCACTGGAACCGGCCATGCCGCAAAAGCCTCTCGTGTCATGACGGCGAGAAGCGAAAGGCGCTGGACTCTTGTCGGGCCTGTATGTCTTCTTGATTACCCAGACTCAGAGTCTCGAACATGCCTAACATATCCCCAATGCTCGTGGCCACGTAGTTCGACGGGCTTTCTTCAGACCCGTCGTTATCGGCCAGCTTTCGCAGCGCCTCGGCGTAGTGAGCCCATCGATCCGTGCTCAATGAGGAGCTCCGTGATAGCGAGCGTTCGCTCGATACGCCATCCGCGCCGTCGACTTGCTGATCACGAACCCGGGCGCGTACGGACTGACGGAAGATGCGCCACAGATTCTTTCCGACGCGGGAGCAACTGGCGACGACGGATAGGGAGCTGGTCAGGGACAGAAAGTCGCGGTCCAGAAGCTCGAACGAGGGGTGCTCCAGCAGAGTAAACAGGGCTAACATGATCGTGTACATAGTGTACGGGTGGGCCCGAACGATACCGTATTCCTCGCGATGCAGCCGAACGAGGCCGGCGATCTCGCGAGCTGATGAGAGTGCCGTGTCCCAAGCCTCCGTACTGGCGGTCGTGTCGAACCGTCCCCTAGGCTCCTGCAGATGGGACGGATGAAAGGGGAGGCTTCCACCTAGCCCATTGAGCAGCAGATTGATCAGCAGGGCGTGATATCGCATCCTAAAGACACAAAGGGATTAGCCTACTCTGGCGCACAGGGCTGGGTAGAGGGAAGGACCGAACCGGAGGATAAGTATGTGTGACGCCGGCTTCTTGGCGGGCGCAAACGCTGGGGGCAGTTCTTCCTCCCATCGACGAAGCCTGTCGTAGAGTGCCCGTTTATGTGGCCGGAGATCGGGATCGGGATCGGAGTGTGCCTGCAAGCCGCGCGAGATATCTCGGGCAATGACGGAGAGGCGGCAGGCCTCGTCGAAGTACTGACTCAACCACGACGCCCGAGCCGGTTGACTGATCGGATACGGGGTCCAGATATCCGTGGTGTCGGTCTCACGGTCTATTGGGATGACACTCACCTCGAAAACACGGCTGGGTCGCAGGAAATTCGCGTGAACTACTCTGTCGTCGGGTCAATTGAACGTGAGTACGAGTATAAATACCATCGAGAATGGCGCCGGGCATCCCACTTACGTGTCGATCTGGAACAAACCCCAGGCGGTCCGCTTAATCGAGGTAATCATGTCCTCCGACATTCGCGACTCGTCAAGGTTGAGTTGCGGACTGTTGATAATCCCCAATGCCTCGGCCATCTCCGTGGCGCGATGTAGCATAGAGTAGCCGTGGTCGTCTTCGCCCGACATCGAGTATCTGGGAGACAAGATTCATGCGTTAGACTATCGCGTGAGCATATTCCGCGGGAAGGTATCCATCACCTTTCATATAAGAGTAGGGTGGCCTGCAAGGACGCGAGTCGTACGTTGGTCCCCGATTCGAATTGGTGGGTTTGCAAAAGCTGTTCGGCCACGGCCAGGAACTTGGTCCCCATCGTCTTTATATCACCGGGTACCGCATAGGCCTCCGAGTAGTATTGCGAGTAATGCTGTCAATCCGGGAGAGGCGTTAGCGAGGCTTCTTTCCGGGGACCAAGGGTTCGTACGCAAGCATTCGCAAGCAGAGCATTGACGAGGAATGGGCTACAGAAGTCAGAGGACACGTTGCCTACGACGAGATTTTTGACCAGCACGCGACGATCGAGGAAAGCATAGAACGGATAGTCCCAGGTGAAATAAAGCGAAACCAAATGAGACACCAAGTCGTCGTCGTCCGTCACGCTCGTCCAGGGACTTGCCGGGACCCGATAGGGAGCATGGTGACCGAGCAGCCGGAGATCCATGATCCTTGGCCGAAAGGGCGGCACTCGGCTGTACGCCTCCATACTGTGCTGGATAGCCTGCAGTCTGCGAAAGGAGCCCTCGTCGTCGGACTGGGCCCGCACGCGGCTCAGCGCATGGTTGATAGAGCCGCGGATCTGGTCGAACGGCGCATTTCCCCTAATAAGTTCCAGCAAGGAATACGCATCTTGCTCGTGCAATGATCGCAAGACTTCCAAGAGATCATCGAGCAGACTGTCGCCATGGATGGACGGCCTGGCCACCCGGCTAGTAGTTCCGTACTGGCAGCTCTGGCAAGGTGCGACGGGCGAACACTTTTCCCCAAGTGAAACTGCGTTAGCCAGCTGCGATCCCGGACGAGGATCAAAGCACACTTGCCTTGAGCCCGTAATTGTTGAGAGCGGAGCAGTCGCTCAAGACATCGCTCGTGATGAGCGCCGACATTGGGGACCCGATCTACCTAGGGGGTGGATATTACGAATGGGCGCTGGCGGTGGTGCTAGGATACAGGCCCCGATCGGTTTTAATGATTTTAGTTGTAGAAGATCTATGCGGGGAATTCCAAGAACTGGTGCAAAATGTGAAATCGAGAAATAAAGAATAAAAAATCAAAAATAATTAGAAAAAAGTAGATCGGAGCGGAGACAACAACAAACCCTAATGACGTAGGATGACGTTATTTGTACCTGGTTTCCCTCGCGCGTCACGGCGAAATCGCCATGGAATGAGCTCAGGTTGACCTCAGCCTTTCGCGCTAAACAATTAACCTCCCGAGATTTGTCTGGGTCCCTCCCTTCTTGCCCCTTTCCTGGCGGTTGAATCTCCCATCCATCCACAGGCATGAGACGCAAAAGGCATTTTCGATCCCTCTGCCCACTCCGTTAGCTTCTGCGCAGATGTACCTAGCTAGGCTAGAATCTCCCAAGAGTAGTCTGGCCTGCGTTCAGGAGATCCACGCTTGACACCCGGTGACGAGAAGATGGAGATGCACCCAAGACCGATAGACAAGGTTGCTATTCCGCGGCAATCGTCGCGATCGGTGGTTCGACGTGCCCGCCGCGTGCGGTTGGCATGCGAAACGTGTCGACAGCGGAAGACCAAATGTAGCGGCGACACGCCGGTGTGTCGCCAGTGTAAGGAGATGCGCATCTCGTGCCAGTATCCGTTGTCGTGGCGAGATAGAACCCAAGGGTATGTCGAATACTTTCTGCCTTTAGATCCCCCGTCAGGTTGCGAAGGGATCCGATCGTTAACGGACGCCGGGGCTCCCAGACGCATCAACCACCTCTTTGAGCGGATCGACGAATATGAGTCCCTCCTCAGGGATGTCGGCACCTATGTCGATGGCCGCACTGCCGATCGCATTGAGACCATGCTGAGCAAGGTTGGTACAAAGCCCGCGGCGTAGCATTTGACGTCCATGTTCGCGTCGCTAACGATCCGCATCAGTACGCCGTTAACAATGGAGACCAGTCGCCTCTTCCGCAGCCTAAAACGTCGGGAGCCTGGACGGAGAGGAATGAGGAAGACACTCCCAGCTCGCCTTCATCCGTCGGATCGCTGGAGGCCAATGATTGCGTCGAAGAGGATTTAAACCGATCGCCCGGCGCTCGTGCCACAGGTTATATGGGCAAGAACTCCGAGATCACATGGTTGCGGAAGGTACAGGGGGAGGCCCAGGAGTACTCTCGACAGTCGACGGGACTCCCCGAGGATGAGGACGAGACGGAAAATACGCTGCCGGCCGTGAACTATCATTTAGACCAACTGGAGATCTCGGTGCCGGGGCCGGTGCAGGTATACCAGATGCCGCACCAACCCATTGCGGACCACTTGTTCGCCGATTATTTGGAGACGGTGCATCCATTTTTCCCAATTATCAATCGCCCGCTATTTCAATCGCAATATGAGAAATTCTTCGGGGACTCCGTGCGGCCGGGAGACAAGTGGCTGGCTATCTTAAACCTCATCTTTGCCATCGCCGCGAAGCATGCCCACCTCACTCAGGCTTCCTGGCGCGGGGACAAGGACGATCATCTAGTATACCTGACGCGCGCACGGATTCTCAGCATGAATGGCGACGTGCTCTTTAGTCACCCGGATTTGCAGCAAGTCCAGGTCGAAGCCCTGACTGCATTTTATCTGCTTGCATGCGATCACATCAACAGGTGAGTTCTAGTTGCACAATTACAGTCTGGCATGAACGTTAGCCAATGGTAACCCTCGGCTTCTAGGGCCTGGCGAATCATTTCAATGGCCATTCGGTCATCGGTTTCTTTAGGCCTGAATTTACGAGACGGTAGCGCGACCACCATGCCCGCGTCGAAAGAAGCGCGCTATCGCGTCTGGTGGTGCCTCTATACCTTCGAAAACTTGCTGGGCGTCATGACGGGCCGCACAACGTGCATGGCTGATTGCATCAGTAAAACGCCCTTTCCTTTGCCTCTGGCAGAGGAGCAGCTGTCGTCACCGATGGCCACCCGTCTTTTAACCGATCAGGGGTTTCATCAGCAATTCGTCGAGTCATGCCTGGCCTTTCACCATCGGTACCCTCTGGGCGGAGCACAATTGAGCAACCCTGGGAACGAGGAGCACCGAGCGTGGTTTAAAAGCCTCTCCCCTAGCCGCGCCATGGAATATACCTACTACGTAGATCTAGCGGTGATCAATCAAGGCACTGTCAATCAGGTCTATTCGCCAGACTGTTGTATGATCCCATGGCGCGAGATCGAGCGCCGTATCCAAATTCAGAAAGCTCGCATTGATTTGTGGGAGTCTAATCTCCCTCGGGAATACATTATCATGTCTTCACTCGACCGCGGCTCCGCACTGGACTACGGCCAGCTTTCGCTCGCCTTTCTGTTCTATAGTTCACGATTAACGGTGGGGCGCCCCTGCCTTTGTCGCCGGGACACGCAGAAGGAGGAATCCTTCAGTCGCGATATAGCACGCATGGCCGTGGAGTCGGCCTGTGGAATGCTGGACCTCATTCCGGATGCTCCCGATGCGCGCTGGCTCTACCAGACATGCCCATGGTGGTGCATTCTTCACTATGTGATGCAGTCGGCGGCGGTTCTCCTCTTGGAGCTTTCCTGGCGCTGCGTCCATATGCCGGGGACCGATGAGACGATCTTGCAGCAGTGCAAGAAAGCGGTTCGGTGGCTCGCGGCCATGTCGATTCACAGCCATGCATCTCGCCGCGGTTGGGAACTGTGCGATAGTAGTCTTCGACGCATTGCCCACGGCATGGGCTACGATCTTAGTGACATGGCCCCGTTCCCCCCTGCCCTTTCGACCCAACCGCCTGTCGACCAGGCCGAGCCGGAAGGCCCGAAAATGCCTTCCTCGCCCCTGTCGAGCTCGGACTTTCCGTTTGACCCTGTCACGGGCGAATTCGTTCGCTCGTTTTTTCCTATGACCGAAGGGCAGGAGGAATGGGATCGTATGTGAGGGGATTGGGGGGGGGGGGGGGGGGGGGGGTGGTGTTGTATGATGTGTGTTGTTTATTTGTGGTGGGGGTGGGGGTAGAGATGTATTTGTTGGGGGGTGGGGGGGGGGGGGGGGGGGGGGGGGGGGGGGGGGGGGGGGGGGGGGGGGGGGGGGGGG